GTGGGGAGCAGCGGGGATCTCCCCCCGCCACACCTGGCAGGAGCTGGTAAGTAGGGGCTTTTTTTTAAACAACCGGGAGCTGAGCTGGGCTGGGTGGGGCAGCTATGGGGGGACTGAGAGAGTGAGCAGGGGTCGTGGGGCACTCAGGGGGGCTGGGGAGCAGGCAGGCGATGGGGCCTGGCAGGGATCCCCCCATGGTCTCCTCCCCGTTCCTCCAGTTGCCCCTTCCCTGCCCACTACTTTCCAGCATGGAGTCCAGGTCCAGCTCCCTGCTGCAGCCAGCAGGAACTGCCCGAATCACCCAAGCTCTCCAAATCTTTTCCAAATTGATAAGGACCTTTTAATTGGTCCCCTGATTCAATTCAGAGATTCGGCCACCAAATTGGGCCGAATCTCCTCTGAATCGAATCGGCACCCAAAGCTTTGCACAGCCCTAATGGCAACTCTTCTTGGAACTGAATAACTTAACAACAGTATACCAAATACATGTTAACTACTTTGTTAATATGCTGTGTGTCCAGAATCTGAGTTTATATTTGAAAGAGGAAAAACTGTCAAAACAAAGTGAAACTACTTTTCTTCTTAATTCCTTGTATTTTCTATTTTCTATTTCTGTCTGTTACAAAACATTCTTAAACGTAGCAATAGTGTTAGTGTCACAATGCTTGTGACATGAATGCTTAGAAAAATTGTGTTTGATTGTAAGTAACACATACAATAGAAATATTGAATTTATCTTCTTTTTCTTCTCATGACTAGGTGAGCCAAGCCCCCCATCAATTCATGGACAGCCAGGCAGTGGAAAGAGCTTTAAACTTAGCATAACTAAACAGGATGATGGAGGAGCTCCTATTTTGGAATACATTGTGAAATACAGAAGTGTAAGTATTCCATTATTCACAAAGGATAATGTTGTGGTTCAATATAATTTTTAAATGCAGAGAAAAGTTTTACTAGAAATGAGATCTAAATTTAAAAAGCATTGCTTAACACATGAGTGAAATAACATACTCTAATATTATTACTCCCCATGACCACAATTTTAGTTCCAGATTAGTAAACTCATATTCAGATAGTTTTTAGGTTTTAGGTGACAAAATACATACAATTTTATTTCCTTTTCCAGTCTACTGTAGTGTATTTAAAAATAGTGAGAGGAAAGAAATTACGATTAGCAAATGGGGATAGGCTTCATAGTAGTCCCTGAATACACAGAAGCAGTGATCAGCCGTCATCCAACTATACCTGACTAGATGTAGCAGAAGTCCACTTAAAATACATTAAACAGAAAGTGGCTATGCCCTTATATGCTATAGAAACTAGAAAGCTGCAAGAAGTTATTTCAAGTACCGAGCCTATTTATTTACCTGTAGTGTTCTCATTGTCAGTAAGCCAACATACTCATTTTTAAAATAGTTTTGACATGCTTCCTAAGATATTTTACCAGAAATCTTTTTAATTTTATTCTAGATCTAGGCTTATACAAGCGCTAAACGTGGGATGTAAAGTTATTGTTCCCCCTATGCTAACTATGACCAAAGAAGATTGGTAGCTCAAAATCAATTGAGAGTGAGGTGATAGAGCTTGCAATAATAGCTTTAGGGAATAACAGCAGTCTTGATATCAAGGATTCCTAAATCTTAATTGATTTACTTAAATCACTTGCAGTCTAACAAGTTGCAGAGTATCTCTGTGAAGAAAAGAAGAGGAAAAGTAACTGGAGTGATATGATAACAAAATACGCAAAGAGCTAATGAGATCTAATGGAATCGTATGAAGATGTGTTTCCTGGTCATTACTTCCGGTCATTTCAAAGTGTCTGGTTATTGAAAATATTTTTGTATATAAATAGAGTTAAAAAGTCTAGGTCAAGATGTGGATTATGGATTTCCTTACTATAAGGAACCTAACTCATATCCATTACCATTTATTTTTAAAAAATTGTATATTATATAGTCTGCTTTTGGTCAGAATATATTTACGCTTAAAGTGTTAATGTGTTTTATGTATTGAAAGTGTGTGCTGTACAGGGAATAAATGAAAATGTGAAGACTTAAATAATGATTAAAAACAAACCATAAAGGTAGCCAAACATCATTTCTGTAAATCCAGTTATTCCAATCTATTTATTTAAAATCTTTCTATACATCTATTTATCTAATCTAACTGTAAAGAGAATATTTTATATTGTCCAAAAAAAAGAAGCAGCATTTTGATCTTTGGACAATACAAAAAGCAAATTATAAGAAATGTATATAATATATTAATGATTAATATAATATATATTATATATGTCTTTTTATGTTACATGTGCATGTTACAGGAGAAGCCTTTTTGGTTTTCTGTATTGATAGTAGTGAATGTTATGGAGAAGTTAACAATGGAAAGTGAGGAACAAAGGAAATTAGTACCAACGTGTAATAATCTTACTCTCCTCCAAGGTACCCCCCACACAATCAACTCTCAAACCTTATTGGAAAGTGTCACCTATCTTTAATTCCCTTTTAAAGTTTGTAACATTAGCTCCTAGCTATTTAAGTGTTGTTAAATACAAGAAAAGAGGGATTTAATTTTAGTTCAGTGTCTTTAGAAGGGCTTAATCTATAGGTGCAACAAGGGAGCTGGAGTCGGCTGCTTCTGGATGCAGCATTTACTTGTGTGCCCAGGACTGCAGCACGTCAAGCTGCGGTAGAGCAGCTCTGGGCTGGCAGGAGGTCGGGGGTGGGGGTCAGCTCCAGGCTGCAGGTAACAGCACTGGACAATGGAGGGACTGGCTGGGGCACAAGGGTACCACAGTGCAGGGTTAGCCAGTAGACAGTCTCTGCATTGTAGCACCCTTGTGCTCCAGCCAGCCCCTGTCACAGTCTACACATTTAAGCACAAGTAACTGCTCTGCTATAGGGTAGTACTGTCCCTGACCAGTACATACAGTTGGTATGTATCCTACGGCAGAGTTAATTCATTTACTGTTCCCTAATATGGGCACACGTGTAGACTCTGACACTTGACTGGAGTTAATTAGTCCACTCGCATAAAGCTCGCATGTGGATGCACCCACTGAGAACACCTCTGTTAGTATGTTTACTCCATATCCTGGTGCATAACTAAATTTCCTCTTTATTTCAAGTACAGATGTTGAAAGCTGAGTGAGATACAGTAATACATCATCAATTTGCAGAGCTTGTTTATGCCCACTTGTTCATAAATTCAGTTTCAGTTGATTTGTACTTGCTTTGCTAAGAATCTTTAAATTGGGAAAACAGCAGGAGTGACAAGATATACTCCAATGTGTGCCATTGCTCAGAATCTCATCTGTGTGCAAGGTCTGAAGCAAGCCGCCAAATCCTTACTGCATTTTTGATGTTCTGTCTTTTTTTGCAGAATTTCCTTCATCTTTAAATTATAATTTTCCCTTGTGTCTGTAAAACAATGTGCTTTTTCCTGTAGCTTGTCAGACTGCAATAAGTGCTGTGTCCCCTTTCATCTCCAGCAATCCAACAAGTGGGAAAGAGATGATGTGGAGAAGGGGAACGAAGAACCTAAGGAAGGAGATAGAGAGGACCAGCTCGGTAGCATGACCTACATATAATGCCATTTATTTTTACCCCACTGAAATACCTTTCTCCATTAACTAGTACCTTGGAACATTAGGCCACAGAGATGCTGCTTTTGTTTGGAGCCACGTCCATATTTTCTAAGCACCCAATTGGGGAAAAAAAGTCATTTGACCAAATTAAAGGCCTCTCTGAAACAAAAGATAGAATAATAATTTCCTAGTGCTTTAATCAGAATGAATGGATGCTATTTAAAGTTCTTAATTATCTGTTGACTATTTGTCCTCTATGTTCACCATTCAGTCCCATTTAATTAGCTTTCCTATAATTCCTTCCAGCCTCATTAGCAGCACCTGGACCAATATCTTTGCTCGCGTGTTTAAGACTTACACTGGATAATAAGCTGAATATCAGTCAACAGGTTTTTCATCTTTGGGAGCAGTGTTTCTGTATAGCTTATTTTTTATTAGGGACCAGTTTCCCTAATTGTTTTGTATTTCTACGCAAACTCTTGCTAGGACTGTGGACAGTCCAACTATATAAAAGATCACTGCAAAGCCCAGGACATTTTTATTCTGCCAGTTGCCTGTTCTGCTTCTGTCAGTTTTTGCTGTAGAGAATTGTCCTATTTCTGTTATGGTCATTTAAAAAAAAATAAATTTAACCAAATAATTTTGAAGCATGGAGCTTTCTGTTCCAAGCTCCAGCATACATCACCTAGAATACACATTTTCCAGTACCTTTTATAATCATATCCTCACTTTCCATGTGAAGTCTTACTAGCTACATGTGGTGCAAGGAGCATAGGGACTTCAATGTGTTTCGGAGAGAGGAATCCTTCTCTACTACTTAAGGCCACAAAATGCCAATGATTTAGAAATAGTTTGATAGTAGCTAGTGTCAGGAGGGACCTGACCAGATCATCTAGCCTGACCCCCTGCCATAGGCAGGAATGAATGCTGGGTTCACAGGACCCCAGACAGGTGATCATCCAACCTTCTCCTGAATTTGCCCAAGGTAGGGGAGAGGACCACTTCTCTGGGAAGTTGGTTCCATATTTTGGCCAACCTAACTGTAAAATATTACTTCCTGATCTCTAACCTAAACCTATTTTCCATCAGCTTATTACCGTTGTTCCTTGTCACCCCAGGTGGTGCTGGGGAAAAAAGGGCTCTATCTATTTGCTGTTGATCTCCCCTGATGAGTTTGTAAGCAGCCACCAGGTCCCCCCTCAGCCTCCTCTTGCTGAGGCTGAACAGGTTCAGGTCCCTCAGTCCCTCCTTGTAGGGCCTGCCCTGCTGCCCTCTCACCAAGTGGGTGGCCCTCCTCTGAACCCTCTCCAGGCTGACCACATCCCTTTTGAAGTGCGGCGCCCAGTGCTGGACGCAGTAATCCAACTGCGGCCTGACCAAAGTCACAAAGAGGGGGAGTATCACCTCTCTGGACCAGCTTCAGATGCACCTTTGGATGTATGACAAGCTGGCCTTGCTGGCTGCTGTCTGGCATTGGAAGCTCATGTTCATCTTGGAGTCAATAATGACTCCAAGATCCCTTTCCGCCTCTGTGCTTTCAAGGAGGGAACTCCTCAGCCTGTATGTATGCTGTGGATTCCTTCTCCCAAGGTGCAGCACCCTGCACTTGTCTACGTTGAACCCCATCCTATTCTCGTCTGCCCATTTTTGTAGTCTTAATAAATCTAGTTGCAGCCTCTCTCTCCCTTCAAATGTGTCCACCTCGCCCCACATCTTAATGTCATCAGCAAACTTGGACAGTGTGCTTTCCACCCCCTCATCCAAGTTGCTGATGAAGATGTTAAACAGTGCAGGCCCGAGGACTGAGCCCTGGGGGACCCCACTACTCGCATCTCGCCAGGTTGAGTACAACCAGTCCACCATTACTCTCTAGGTGTGCCCCATCAGCCAGTTTTTTACCTATCCAACTGTGCAGGCATCAATGCCACAGTCGCTTATTTTATTGATGAAGATGGGGTGAGAGACAGTGTCAAAGACCTTCTTAAAGTCTAGAAAGACTACATACACGGCGACACCATCACCCAAGGATTTAGTTACCTGGTCATAAAGGCAATCAGGTTGCTCAGGCAGGAACTGCCTTTGATGAACCCATGCTGATTGCCCCTGAGCATGATCTCCCCTGTTGTCCCCCACAGATGTGCTCCTTAATGATTCTCTCCAAGATCTTCCTGAGCACCAAGGTGAGGCTTACAGGCCTATAGTTACTTGTGTCCTCCTTCCTCCCTTTCTTGAAAATTGGGACCACATTAGCCAGTTTCCAATCCCCCGGCACCTGGCCAGATGACCATGAATGCT